CCCCAAAACCCCAAAACCCCAAAACCCCAAAACCCCAAAACCCCTTTAGGAAATATCATATTTGAAAAGTTATAAATTATTTTGAAACAACAAATAATGGTCACAAAAATCTTATTTTTGCTGCTATTATCCTGAGCTATTGGCCAAACTACCTTGGCTGATGATGGATTCGTCACTGTAAAAGGGAGGAATTTCTACCTCAATGGTAAGAAATATTTCTACCTTGGAACAAACTACTGGTATGGCATGAATTTGGGAGCTCCGCTTGCGGGAAATCTGACCAGACTTAAAGAAGAGCTTGATGATCTCTCTCAACTTGGTATAAAGAACTTAAGAATCATGGGGAGCACTCAAGGCCCAAATGATAAAGAAAAGAGAATAGTACCTGCTCTTGAATATGACAAAGGAAAATATGATGAAGATATTTTTGAAGGTTTAGATATTTTCCTGTATGAAATGGGAAAAAGAGACATGAAAGCAGTCGTTACTCTTAACAATTTCTGGGAATGGTCAGGAGGATTCCCACAATACTTTGAGTGGTATCGAGGAAATTATAACCTCTATCCAGCACAATTTTATGAAGATGAACTTCTTAAGGAAAAGCTTGACGATTTTATCAAAATCATAGTGAATAGAGAGAATACAGCATATAAAAAGAGAGATGGTAAAACAATTCTGTACAAAGATGATCCAACAATTATGTCTTGGCAGCTTGCTAACGAACCAAGAGCAGGACCTTGTGGAGCCTGGGTTGACTGGATTAACAAAACAAGCACTCTTATTAAAACTCTAGCTCCTAGGCAACTTGTCTCTATTGGTAATGAAGGGACCATAACTGGATGTAGCGAGGAAGGAAATTATGTTGAGAATGTTGATTACATAACTTTTCATGCTTGGGCTCAAAATTGGGGATGGTATTCTCCAAGTTCTCGGAATGGTCTAAGTAGCGGTATATCCAAAGCTCATAAATACATTAGTGAAAACGTGAATTTAAACAAGGACAGGAACAAGCCGATGGTATTAGAAGAGTTTGGCCTTGCTAGAAATAGAAATTCCTATGATCCTAATTCTTACTGTGATATCAGGGATGACTATTACTCAGGTGTATTCTCTAAAGTATATTCTTACGCTAAGGATCATTCCTTGATGTCAGGAGTTAACTTCTGGGCCTATGGTGGACAAGGCAGACCTAGAGAGAACGGCGGCTGGTGGAAAGCAGATGATGACTTGATTGGAGACCCTCCTCATGAAAGACAAGGATGGTACTCAGTTTATAACACTGACTTTACTACTTTGGAGATGCTGAGAGATTGGGTTGATAAATTTGACTCCTTATGTACTTAATCGTCAGAAGCTGATATTTTTGGAGTATTTATGAGAAAATTCAATTCTTATTAAGCTAAATGGGGTTTTGGGGTTTTGGGGTTTTGGGG